ATATAGAGGAACAACACAATTTGTGCCCTGTTAAACATAATAATAAAGTGCTTCATCTTCCTGTTATTCAGAATTCCTCTGGCTTTTATCCAACTATTTTCTTTGTTTTCTCCTTTAATTTTTACGAATAAAATCCAACAATTAATTATAAGTTTTTTTTTTTTGCCCTTTTGGACAAAGGATAGGATATGTAGAAGATACTTTTACAATACAGCCCACCAGCTTTTGAAGGAAAAACCTAGATCTATATTGGCCAACAACAACCAGTCTGCTTCCTTTCGTGAGTTTTTGAAGATGAAAACCCTATATTGCCCACCATATGTGCTGTTTGAAGGCTTTTCTAATTTCTTTTCTATTATTTTAATGACATACACGTGTATATAATAAACGTGTAAGCTACAGTTTTGATTGTTTGTTTCCTTCCACGAGTCTTATTTGCTATGTACTCCCTAAATTTTTTAGCTAGCTCACCCATAAAATAATTCATGGTTCACAAGTCAATATATCCACAATGAAGCTACAGCCCCACAAGACCAAATGTTATTCATGTGAGTCAAATTTGAAATCTCCTCCAACTAAGTAGAAGTAAATACCACTAGACCGAATGCTAGTTGAATTATAAGACAAGCTTAATAAAAAATGAAAAAGAGAGAAGATTTATTATTATTATTAGAAAATTAACAATTTATTTTGCAACATATATTATTATGATTATTATTAGTATAATTTTCATTCTCATGCATATGATGATCATTGACCAACCAAGGAAAGCAACGTGGCCAAGTAGTCTCCAGACAAACTCATCCCACCGCACCCACCCGCCTCTCTCTCTCTCTCTCTCTCTCTCTCTCTCCCATCGCCCCAAAACACCCAGAGAAAAGACCCAGATTAAAAAAATTTAAATAAAAAACCCAACCCAAACCCAGACAAAAACTGTTTTGTCATAAAAAAAAACAACAAGAAGGAAATCGAATCCTAATGAAATTTTTGTTTTGCTGTGGTTTTGATTTGAGTTTCAACTTTCCCCTGATTTTGGTTTTCAAGAGAAGATCAACGAATTGTTAATGGGTTCAAGAATCTATTTTTTGTGAAAACCATTGATCAAGGAGGGTAGATGCTTGTGTTGCTATCGATTTTGGTCCTCCAAAATTAGCATACAGATGTTTGAAGATATATTTGGGGTTTGGAACTTTTGTGGTTGGAGTGGAGATGACACTGGGGCTAGGTTGAGTTTTTTTTAAAGCTGTGGTTCGGATTTTTGAGGCTGGAGTGGAGATAACAGAGTGGCGAGCTAGGGGCTGGATTTTTTTTTTTTGGTCGGAGGGGAAGAAGATGAATCGAGTTGCAGACAGAAGTCGAGTTGCAAGAGAGAAGAAGAAGAATCGAGTTGCGGTGCTCGAGGGATAAACAGCGTTTATAAAAAACCGCAGTTTTCTCTTTCTTCCTTCACCGGCTGTACAGGTTGGTGGGATTCAGTTTCAGTGTTTATTAACAGCCGTAGATTCAAAGTGATCTAATGGCTGAAATTTGGGCGCCCGGGGCATTGTAGAATTTGTCTTGTTAATTAAGGTCCAATATCCTAAAGAGAAAGGGATTCCTAAAAGGAAATTGGTTTAGGTTTTCTTTTTCTTAATTCAACTCCTCTATATAACCCCACTCTCTCATAACTAGTTTCGCTCAAAGCTCCCGTTGGTGTGGTTTGGAAGTTCCTTGTTCCAAGCTTTCTTCTCCTCCTCTTCCTCCTCCAAACCAAGATGAAGCTCATCATGAAGCTCTTCGGCTGCGGTTTCAACTCCTCCGAATGCAAAGAAACGGTGGAGACAGTGGTGGTAAAAGCGCGATTCTTGCAAAAGAAGAAACAAGATGAGGTGGCGAAGATGAAGAGTGACATCGCAAGTCGCCTTCGCGCCGGTGAAGACCCCATTGCCAGCCCTGCTCATGTCCTGATCAAACGGGTGATAAGAGAGCAGAACGTCTCGGTTGCCTACGAATTCATCGAGGCTTTCTGCGATTTGATTGTGGACAGACTGTCGACCATCAAAGAGGTGAGGGAATGTCCAGAGAACTTGAAAGAAGGGATAAGTAGTCTAGTCTTTGCAGCCAAAAAGTGCTCTCATGAGATTCCAGAACTGGTGACACTTAGGAATATTTTCAGGAAGAAATATGGAAAGACTTTTGTCTCTGCGGCTACGAACATACGACCTAATTGTGGTGTGGATACCATGATGATAAAGAAGCTTGCAGATACAAATCCTCAAAGTGACGAAAAAATGAAAGTTGTGCAAGAAATAGCCGACAAATACGGTATTCATGGATCATGGGTAGAGATTGCAGGAAACAACTGCAATGCTTTGGTCGAAGTATAGAAGACCACAAACGTCATAGCTACCAATTTAGCTAATGTATAGATTGATCACTATGACCTTTTTTTTCCCCTTTCTTTTAACTCTATAAATTTCCTTGTTGTCACACTCTTTTCTTTTAACTCTATAAATTTCCACTCGTTAGCATTCTTCAAATTATAAACCCAAAATTGGATTCTTTGAATCAATCATGAGACTACTTCCCGGAGAAAAAAAATTCAAAAAAACGCCCAAAAGATAGATCTTAAAAAAAAAAAAGGTTTCATATTGCTATAGCCAGTCTCTTTAATAAGGTTATTGACTTTTCAACTCTTTCTATGCAGATTTCCTAAGAGTAAGATTAGTAATCTTTTATAGATAACGGAAGCATTCCCTTAGTTCTTTGTTAACCTCTATATTCTGGTCTCTAAAGAGGCTCACAAAGAATCTACCTCTCTTCATCGCGTCTTGGTGAACATTGTTAAATTCTTGTTTTGCAACTAGGATGTACATGAGGCAATATATTAGAAGAGCTTTGAAAGGTTGCACTCGGAGTACAACAAACAAGCTCGGAAGGGTTTTTCACTTACGAATTAGAGTTGAATATGATGAGTAGGGTGTACTTATTAAAATATTTGTTTCACAATTCAATATATCCTTTTTAGTCATTTTATATTAGGGTAAGTAAGTAATTCAATAAATAGTTTGGTATAAGGTGTACTCAGTTAATTTTAGAGTTTGTTTAGTAGCACTCTTCTTTTTTATTATTTTAATGACATCCACGTGTATATAAGAAACGTGTAAGCTACAGTTTTGATTGTTTGCTTCCTTCCACAAGTTTTTTGGTTTTTTTTTTCCTACTACACTCCCTAAATTTTTTAACTAACCCACCTATAAAAAAATTCATGGTTCACAAGCTAATATATCCACAATGAAGCTACAGCCCCGCAAGACCAAATGTTATTCATGTGAGTCGAATTTGAAATCTCCTCCAACTAAATGGAGATAAATACCACTAGACCGAATGCTAGTTTGAATTATAAGACAAGCTTGATAAAAAATGAAAAAGAGAGAAGATTTATTATTATTATTAGAAAATTAACAATTTGTTTTGCAACATATATTATTATGATTATTATTAGTATAATTTTCACTCTCATGCATCATGACGATCATTGACCAACCAAGGCAAGCAACGTGGCCAAGTAGTCCCCAGAAGTATCACTCTTTATATCCTGAACCAATGGGACACTATTCTTGAGTTGATACTGTTCCATTATACTCTTCATGTCAACCTCCGCTCGAGTTGCTACAACTCTGGTCAGAGTCTCCTCCGTCGTTCCGAGGCCCTTCATCGACAGCCGGAGAGCTTTCTCATAATACTTTTCCGGGCATGTCAAGCATTTTATGGTGGCTCTCACTAACCCAAGGTATTCATCCTTTGGCTTTTTCTTCAGGTCCTGGAGGGAGAAAAAAAAAACAGAACTCATATAATAAACAGTAATGAACAATCATTTAAAAAGCAAAAGATAAATTAATATAATACGTTTTTTCTCCGATCACTCTCTCTTTCTATCCTCAACATTAACTGTTATAGCCATCAATGTACGCATAAGAGCAGTTATTCGTGCACATGAGTTCTTGTATTTAAAATTTCCTCCCCAAATTGTGTTTATATAAAAAATATGTGTGTGCATACAGTCACCATTAATTAATTAATCAATTGCATGTCAATTGTATGATGACTATTGGCAGTCTAAAATTGTCATCATGCATGATTTTTTTAATAATAAATAAATAACAAGTACACGATGACTATTATGGAGTGTGAATAAAAACTGCCAGTGCATATATTTTTGCAAATATTATTAAATAGCGAGCTAGTAGAACCTTGTTGATAGGGTGGCCAAATTGGTCGTTATAGACTTCGAATGTTGCATTCAGTTGTGCTTTGCTCCTAGTAGTTAGAATTCTGATGAGCTCATCATGATTATAAGCCTTTTCGGATATTTTCTCTTGAAGTATGTTAGCCTCTGAATTCGCCACCGTCATATCAACCTCAGCTCCCTCGTACCTGTAAGTACTCGCAAGAGGTACCAATAGCTTGCCACGCAAGGACAAAAAATTAAAAAAAATCTAGAATAAAAAATCTAGAATAGAATATTAATTACGCAGTTTATCTTTTTCTTTTTTATATAAATCAATGTAACTTTAAATTTAACAAACCTAGAAAAAAGTTGGCAAGTATAATAAAATTAGATCAAGTTCTACACTACATATTAATTAGATTGATCTTTTTCTGAGTTTCTAGTCCATGTTTGCAATATAGCACATAATCATCTTACGATGTCAGATTATTTGACAAGATCCAATGTTACGTAGCTTTTATATGTATGTACACACATGTACATTCTATATATGTATACCCAATGATGGAGCCACCTTAGATTAGGACGGGCTCTAGCTCAGTGCAAAAGTTTTTCAAAAATTAGTTTAGTGTGCTAAAGTTTAGGAAGTTCACCTATTTAGTGGAAATTATAGCTAGCCCACTCCATCATAGAACAATTATAGTAAATTTAGCTTAACCTTTTCAAAGTCATTTTTCCTCAATTACAACCCATCTCTTTA